CGCCGATGGGGGACGGGCCACCAGCCGACGGCCTCGGGGCTCCCCGGGGGGAAGCGGGGCCGCCCGCCTGCAGCAGCCGGCCGGCGGCGGGGGAGATGGAGAAAGCCGGCGGTTCCCCCTCGGCGGGCGGCAGCTACCCGCAGAAGAACGCCGAGATCCTCAGCAGCCAGTACGGCATCAACCTCTTCCTGGCCGGGCTGCTGCTCACCTTCGCCTGGGCCGTGCACGCCGTGGGCATCAGCAAGAGCCACCTGCTCTCCTACCTCATCACGCTGATGCTCATCCAGCTGCTGTGGATGCTGTGGTACCTCTGCAGGAGCTGCACGCAGAGGAGGCTGATCCGGGACAAGGACACGCACGCCGGAGCCCGCTGGCTGAAGTGTAAGTAACTGGCCGGTGGCACCGCGCACGGGACATCCGTGCCATCACCCGCCTCCCCTACCGCTTTGCGACCCTCGCCGTCCCTACCAGGAGGCATCCTGGTATTCGTGAACTTAACGCACACGCAGCGCGCTCTAAAGTAAATATATGCATAAGCTGAACATACGAGGAGATTGTATGGGAAAGCTCTTTGCTAAACATCCTCGCTTGCCAACCTACCATTTACAGTGCTGAAAGCTCTGGCGCCTCTTTTCCCTTACCGGGCTGGTTTAGTGACACTTGAAAAATAAAATATACCTAATGGAAGAGGCAATTTTGCTGGTGTCGTGCAATTCTTTTGGAGGAATTATCACCTTTTCCAGACAATGTAATGCGACTTACTTTAGGCCAGTACCAGCCAGAAAGGTCCTCAAGTGCTCTCTATACCAATGTATATCAGAGATTCCCATTTATACGTGTCCAGTGATGCCTTAGAAAGATCTGGAGTTAGACAGAAGAGCACAAAATCCCTGGCCAGATCAGGTTGTAGATTAGCGCATAAAGCACGTAAGCAAGGAATCTAAAGCTAGAATTAGCTTGTAGGCAAAGTATAAAAAGTTGCAAGGGTAGAGGAGGGATGTGATGGCCCTTATCTGCAGAGTCAGGTGTGTGCTGGAGTGAGGATATAAAGGTATATTGAGAGAAGGTAGTTGGAGAGCACATCACAGAATCGTAGTGACAGGAATGCTGTCTTCTGGGTCCCGAGAAAAAGAACATGCATCAGCACCGCATAGAGTAATAGGCAAGCCCGGTTTTACTGACCTCTTTTCCAGTCTCGGCACTGTAAATGATAGGTTGGAAAATAAGTATTTTAAGTGGAGTGCTATAAGACAGCTTTTCCATAATGTATTTCCTACCTACTAGCAATAAGACAACAGTTAATTATCACAGCAGCTAATGAAATATCTAAAGGAAAATCCCAAGAACATCTAAAACCTGATTATTTTGAAAAGTAAGGTCGTGTGGTGGAAATTCAGTTTGTTCTCAGTCTCAGTGCTTGTGTGTCTTTCATTTTCTTTGCAACTGTTAACAATTATGCTGTATGAATTGCTCAGGGAAAATATTTTTTTTTTAGTGTCTAGCATACAGCCATGGTCTGTAGACTCTCCCCTGAAATGTATGGAGTTCATGTACCAACTGTTGAATTGTTCTCCTTGATTATTCACTGTTTTCCAAAATGATATTCAGCTCTCGGGCATTTTTCGTTTATTAGCTTATGTGGTTTACAACCTCCTGAAATTCATTAATGCAAGGCTTAATTTGATCCCATTTTGGACCAAGCTATGCTTTTGTTACTCAGAGGGTAGCTTTCCCCTAAGTATGGAATAAATACTGCTTAACATGGGTAAGTACAGCAGGACCCCCTGCCCTTTTTCTTTTGGCACAGCATTCACAGCATTTCATTTGTCCTACAGGATATAAGGTGTTGCAGAAACTTAGAAATAAGATACTGGATTGAACTACTAGGTTACCTTATCCATTTCTTTTACCAGCACAGGATGGCTCTTTGTACTAGCTTCTCAAGTGGTGCGGCTTCCACAGCTTCTCTTGGATGTCTAGGCTGCAATTCAACAAATTCGCCCTTAGGGAAAGACCTACACTTTCCTATTCTTAGGAGTTTCTTGTAGTTACAACAAGCCTGTACAACTCCTTTATCCTCTGTTGGTAAAAGAAAACTTATTTGAGCTAAGGAAAAACTCAGGTGGCAATTCCTCTGCCAAGATCCCCCTTGCCCTCCTCTTTATCAATGGTCTTGTCATAGAAATCTTTTATCTGAAAGACTAAAAGTCCAAAAAGGTGGAGGGGGGGAGGACAAATTTCCACCCAGTCTTTCCACAGGAGACTCTTTGCAATTTTTCACTAGCTCTATCAGCTGTGTCGTGGTTTAACCCCAGCCAGCAACTAAGCACCACGCAGCCGCTCACTTGCTCCCCCTCCTGCAGGGGGATGGGGGAGACAATCGTGGGAAAAAAGTAAAACTCCTGGGTTGAGACAAAGACAGTTTAATAGGACAGAAAGGAAGAAAATAATAATAATTGGAATATACAAAACAAGTGATGCACAGTGCAATTGCTCACCACTTGCTGACCGATGCCCAGTTAGTTCCCGAGCAGCGATCTGCACCTCCCTTGACCAGCTCCCCCCAGTTTGTATACTGGGCATGACATCACATGGTATGGAATATCCCTTTGGCCAGTTTGGGTCAGCTGTCCTGGCTGTGTCCCCTCCCGACTTCTTGTGCCCCTCCAGCCTTCTTGCTGGCTGGGCATGAGAAGCTGAAAAATCCTTGGCTTAGTCTAAACACTACTGAGCAACAACTGAAAACATCAGTGTGTTATCAACATTCTTCTCATCCTAAATCCAAAGCATAACACTATACCAGCTACTGGAAAAATTAACTCCATCCCAGCTGACACCAGGACAAGCTCCTTTTGAAGAATATCTCCTTGCTCTCACTGTGAAAGCAAATGTTCTTTTATAAAACAGTGTAAAATTAGTATATTTTCATTATTCCCTTCTAACTGTGAATATTGTTTTAGTAAAAGTGGTGGTAACTGGCTACTTAGAGCATTTTGCTGTGACAAACGTTGAAAAAGAATGACTTAACAAAAACCTCCTATAGCTGAGTCCTTGCACACGGTTAACAATGCTAGAGGGACACATAGTTTACAAGAATTGCTCACAGAAAGGTTTCCTTGAGCATTTTTGGAACTGTGTGAACCCTAGAGTACAGTTGTCTTCCCATTTGTGTGGCATACCAAGAACTGCTCTTAGAGTCCGAATGTGGGAAAAGTTTCAGGGAGAGCTCTGTCTTTAATAAGGTACAGTTATCCTGACCCAAATAATCACAGGGAAGCTTAGGAATTCCTTTTCTTGACATGTTCCAAATGTTATTCCCCTGAGTACCCTCTCCTGTTAGGAAAAGCGCTCTGACCATTATTTGGAAGTTCAGCCAAGTGGGCCAGAGAACTCAAAATGAAAAACAATTGGCTTCACAAATGGCTGTATTTTATCATGTTCTCCAGCAGCACAGCTTCTGTTTAAAGCATAGACAGCTACTCAACTTACAAAGCTGTTGGCAGGCTTCAACTTGTATCTTTCTACTGCTTGCATTAAATTATCTATTATTTGAACAATATTTTGAGTTTAGAGAGGCATTTTCACAACAGCATCATTATGGCTTTTTTTTTCTTCTTGATGGTTAATAGAAAGAATTAAGCCAGCACTTAGCAATACTGAAAATCCTATTCTTGATCCCCTAAGATATACAGGTTTCAATGAACATTTGAACACACACACCCCTTTTTTAATAATACAGTGCTCAATAGCAATTGTTTCATGTTCCTTTAACTTTCAAATAGAAATAGCAAAAAGTGGAATTATCTTCCTTATTTATAATTACTGATATATATCTAGTATTTAGTATTAGTACATAATACTGAAGTTTCCATCAGGAAAAGTTAACATGGAAACCACCAGCAAAGCGTATGTATGGTTATTATAATTGTGCTTTGATTTTTGACGAAGCAAATTGGTACAATCATTCTCTTTTGAAGTCCCTTAAATATGCATGTTGGACACTTCGTATATGCTTACAGCGTGACCACCTGAGTGATTGCCAGAAAAATCTAGATATCATTTGAATAAATGAAATAATCGAACAATAAAAGAAAGAGTCATAGAAAGTCTTCTAATCCCTGGAGGAAAATGGCAAAACTATTGATTCCAGTGGGAACAGATTGAAGCCCATCAAATCTCTAATGGATGTAAAGAAAACTTTAAGAGAGATACTAAGGCATAGACCAAAATACTCAATGTGAAAGAAACTTGGGGGCAAGGGGGGAGGGCAGCGTCAGTTGGTTGTTTTTTTGTTGTTGTTGGTGGGGGTTTCCTCCTCAATGGTCTGCTGGACATGGATGTAAAACTACACAACTGAAATACTGTTCTTGTGAAGCAAGACAGAGTGGAACTACAGTACAGGTCATCCTTCTAAAGACAAGATGCATGTACGGTGCAAGAGACAGATCACTAATCTAAGATGTGTTTCCTTTTTATTTTTGTGACTTTAAACCTGAGATCCTTGCCTTGCCTCGCCTTGCTTCGCCTTCCCTCTTCCCATTTCTTCTAGTTAACAAGTCCCTTGTGATGCTGTTCTGCTGAGCCACTCTCATGAGTAATGGAAGCAAGGATGCAGAACTTTTACATTATAAAAGACATTTTCCACCCATTTTGCTCTGACATTACTACTTCACTAAAGCAGTTCCTCAGGGCTTGATGCTGCACCATGAATTCATTAGGAAATTATCTTTCTAGTGTCACGATTGGGGAATTAAATACTTTTCTAAAATACTCTGTAAAGTTAGCATATGCACAACAATTCACTGTAGAGTAATTGTGGAAGATTTTTGTAATCTTTTTGCTTCAGAAGATAGCATTTTCCTTCTCGTTAAAACAATTATAATATCCATTAAGGCCCTAAGATTGACATCTTTCAGGCAAATAATGAAACAGGCTGAGTTTCCTGCATACTTTCTAAATAAACCATGAATCACAGAATCAATCATAGAATAATTTAGGTAGAAAGGGACCTCTGGAGGTCATCTAGTCCAACACCTTGCTCAGAGCACTTCCAATTACTCAGGTAAAGTTATTTCAGAAGAAAATTAACAATTCTAGTTTATTTTAGAATAATTTAAGTTCTTTAAATAAGGAAGGAAACGTATCATTTGATCTCAAGAGTAGCCTAGAATTTTGCATTTTGTGATGCTATTTTTATTTATAATGAAAATGGCATATCTATTTAAATGTGGGTTCCAGTCCTATTACATGTGTTAGAAAAAATACAAATTAGCTGACATAATAAGCATAAATAAAAAAATGCATAGGATTATACACATGAATGAGGTACAGACCTGAGGTTTTACATTTTGAAATATGAAGGCAAAAATTTCTATCTCTTGGTAGAAATGACACTGCATCAGTAATTTGACACTGGTTTTATTATAGAGACATTGTAAAACAGAAACATAAAATGTTACTGGAATTCATACCCTTGTGGTTAAAAAAATTTCTGAAGTCTATTTTTGTTTAAAGGTTTTAAAGGTTCAATGAAGTAATAAAAAAATACATTGTATTTTTATAATTTATACTTAAATTTTATCAATGCAAATTTAACAATAAATGTATTACTAAATAAATTATTAAATTAGTGTTGTATTTTATTAAAACAAGTCAAGTGGAACATGTGGTGCTTATAAGGAAGTTGGGCTGTGCTCCCTTAGGAAGGATAAATATTCATCAAAGTCAACACTAGTGATGTTATTTACTCTGTGAGGAATTACGAAGAAAGATTAAGATACTGATGCTGGTCTGTATCTTAAGGTCCAGTTAAGGTCCATGGATAGATTTTTATCTAGTCTTAATTCAAATAAGCCCAGATTAAATCCAGTGGAAACTTGTTTGAATAAAAGCCTAGAGAGAAAAAAACAAAAAACCAAAAAACCAAAAACAAGCAAATGAAGACTTTAGAATTTGGTTTAGTTATTTTATTGCCTGTTGTGCTTAATCATATGGGTACAAACCCAATCATTAATAATAAACATTGTGTTACCATATAGCTTTCCATAATGAGTTGTAACAAATATTTACATTCCTGAAAGAAAGAAAGAAACAAACAAACAAGGGGAAACATGTAGTTTGAAAGTTCTTTAGTATACGAAACATGTATTTAGCGAAACATATTAGGGGTTTTTGTGTGAGTGTGAAATAATAGGTACAGAAATGAAATCTTTGGTTCCTTTCTAGGAGAACAAACCGTACAGCTCACTGTGGTTTTGGTCTCTGAGTTAAAGCGTAACCTCCTGAACCAGGGGGAAGGCATACCAAGTGATTGTGTTACTTCCCACTGCTGAGCTCTTGGGCCAGGAGACTGTAACACGATTGTTCGGCTCCCTGGAATTGTATAGTTTGCTGTGTGGCTGTATAGAGCATTAATTCATGCACTGTATGGCTGCTTCAGTGCTACCGTTACGTGAGAGGCTGACCCTGAAGGAGCTGGGAGCCATCTGCAAGGTGCTGAGTGTCTCCAGGTCCTGGCCATTGCTGGACGCAAGGCGTCTACGGGGATGTGCTTTTGTAACGTATTGGGCAGAGGCTTTCACAAATGAGAGGGACTTATTGCATTGAGTCAGTTATCTTCATGAACATCAATCATTTTCATTTCGCTAAACAAGAGCACGGGTATTGATCGACTTTTATTTCCCTAAACAGGTTTTAGCATAGTGATACAGATTGTCTCTAGACACTGTAACTGTACATTGATGTTTTCTAATATCTTTTTCATTTGTAGGTGGGATTACATTATTTGCAGTGATTACTTTAATTCTGGACTCTTTTAAAATTGGATATTATATTGATTTTTCAAACTGTTTGTCACCAACTGAAGGCATTTTTCCTGTTACGCATGCCGTGCACACCATCTTACAGGTAAAACTCATTGGTTGCAGTTTTATATTATATCTGTGTTTCTTACCAAAAATATCTTTTATCTTCTCATCATCATTGAATTTTACACTAATTTAATTTCTAAGCATATCACAGGATACTTCTGAGGACTAAATTCTTGTGCATGTATATCCTTTCTATGTGTAAATTCAGGCTTTGCAACCTGAAATTGCTCAGCTGTAAAACTCACATGGGTTAAAAAAAGAAATAATCAGAAAATGCTGTCCTATAGTTGAAGTTACTTGCTTTTTTTAGTTTGAGTTACATATGTAACTTTCAGAATTTTCAGGCTGAAATGAGCAGCTTGGCTAAAGACAATTCACTTGTTTCTGTATGTAGGACTTGCCACACAAGTTCAATTCAATTTGTCTATCCTGATGTCCTGTTGTGGTTAGGGGTGGAGGTCTGGTACTTCAAAGGGACAAAACCCTTCCCATGTATTTAGCTTGTTATAATGACGTGTGGAAACCCCTTGTCTCAATAAAATACTTGCACATCTTTCCTATGCCAAATGAACATGGATTTTCCTTCTAGAAGCATTTGGTTACGCTTATCAGTGGCTGCACACTAGCAAACATAGTCAGTGACTCTCATAAAATATTCCAGCTGCTTGTTTATTTTAAGGCTTTGGGTCTGTATTATATGGTGAGATTCCATAGCTGATTGTTTTTCACGTGAATTCCTCTGAGCCCCTATCAGCAGATTTGTAGGAAAGAAGGAAAGAAAAAGCCGCACAACTAAGATACTCAGTTATAGTCAGGTCATTTAATGCACTTTTATTAAGTCATTCGGAAAGAAAAGAAAGATTTTCTGAGCAGTTGTGGTTGCATGTAAGTAAGCATTTGAACAGCCTACATTTTTCTGCTTCTGTAACAAAAAAAAAAAGCATTGAAATTTAAGCAGTAACTCTGATGTCTTCTATCTTTTTCTCTGAGGGTGAAATTCAGGTTTTGTTGAAGTAATCTTAATTTCACATTCTTGTAATACCCACTCTCTATGTCTTGCAACTCCTTTGCTTTACCTCTGAAAAACAAACCAAAGAAATCAAGCCTTTTTTCCCTGCTGATCTGCACGCAGCATTCTTCATTGAATGCAGTGACCCTGAGCTGACAAGGTTTCCAGCTACCGTGAACTGGAGTGTGGAAGAAACAGTGTATAACAATGCTGAACAAAGGGAACATGAATTCTAATTTAAATTTTACATCTCCCAATGTTGCTGAATTTATCATCTACTTAGCTTAAAATAATGAAATCTGGAATGTTAGCCTGAGCAATCAAAGAAAAAGTAAAAAAGTAATTTACCAGATACCTCTTACCTAAGACAAATCTTCTCATGTCTTTGAAACACAGGATGAAATTACAGCAGAGAACATCCCTAATTATGTGTCATCTAAAAACTAAAGGATTTGTTTTCTACAGAATATGTGTCAGATTCTGTTTTATTTTACTCTAATGAGGCATCCTGATATGTGTCATTAAATTAATAAATATATACGTGCTGCACCTGTGCAAGCAATGAACTAACATGTACCTGCCCTTCCAAGACAGGCTGTGCGTTATGCTCTTTTGCAGGCAGAAGTCCCTTTGAGGCAGTGATTACTCTGTGAGCAAAAATTGGATTTTATGCTATTTCTTTACCTTACTGACTTTTCTGTTCCTATTTCCCCCCACTTTCTTGACTCTAATGTCTGAACAGATATTCAAAACTCTTCCTTTTTGAGTGTCACACATGCTCATCAGTGTAATGACATTTCTGTGTATTCCTTTCATTTAGGTGTACTTTCTTTGGTGTCATGCAAAGGATATTATCCAGTCTTTCAAAACACTTGAAAGGTAAAGTGGATCTGATCCTCATCTGGAATGCTAATAGGTGTAGGTCTGCACAGTGCTTTAACACCTACAGTTTTACTGTATGAGGGACACTGAAAACTGATTCTTCTCTTAATCATGGTAATATAAATAAAAAGTAACTCTAATTTACCCAAGTGAGAAGATAATCATCAGTCTGAATGATGTTTTTCTTATTTAAACTGTGCTTATATTTTATAACATACAACAGTCACAGAATAAGTATATTTTTCTCATGAGAGTGGAAAATGGGCAAGGTATGATACCACAGTGTCACCTGCTTTTTTTTGAAGGAAGGAAGCACTATGTATGTGTCTTAGGACTATGCACTATGTTTTCTTTATTTAGCTACTGAAAGGGAATCTGCGTCCGCAACCTGCAGTCAGTGCAATACATCTGAGGTATTTTATATTGATTTTTATGGAAAGCATTTTTTGGAACTAGATGCAGATATGCACATTCACTGGGAAACAGAAACTCCCTGGTGGTAACCCATACACCCAAATCAGTAAGGGTTGTGCACATTTCTGACACCAGAACTTGATTCTCGCAGTGTTAGTGGTGTGTCCTCTGAACAGCTGGATCCATACATTTCTTACGGAGGTGAGGACTAGTCTTTGAAGCAGCAGAACCAGCTCTGATGTATTTTTGGTTTTGTGAGTAAGTGGATTAACGTAGATTAATCTATCTGTACCTAGAACATAAACAAACACACACGGTAACTTTTAAAATATGTATCTCAAATTATCAGTGAGCTGGCCAGTTTCCATAGGAAGTAAAAGAAATTTCCTCAGACACATCATTTATGGAGAAGGTTCTCCTTTTGTTTTGCTCTCTTGGGTAAGTGTTCAAGCCTCGTGCCAATGAGGAGAGAGATCACAGGAGGCTTTGCAATGTCAGCTGGTGAAATCAGCTCTGTTTATCAGTAGAATTTTAAAAATCCCTAACTGCAAATCTATCAGTGAGAACAGTGCAGTAATAAAGAACTGTTTCTTGGTGAAAGAACATTACCAGCCTCAGGTGCAAAAGAAAAACGCCTGGCTTGTCAGAAACCAGGAGTCTCAAAACCACGTGGAGCCCTACCCTCACTGAACCCCTAGTCTGAATGGGATAAAGCCCTCTGTTGGCTTCAACTCTCTCCAGGAGGCAAAACCCCATGGACTAGAAGCTAGAGAAGGTGGTGGTATCTCTGAAGACAGACCAGCCACAGTGAGTACGAAGGATCACCGCCAAAGGCTGTGAAATACGGCTTGCAAAACAATTAACCCTGTTCACACTGTTCAATCACTGTCATTAACATGAAGCTTGTCCAGCCCAAAGAATAACAACCAGCACATAAGGGAGCATAACAAATAATAACAGCGTGATATTAATGGTTTAATACATTAAGCCACTGTGTTTCTATAAAATTTTGGAAGTCTAACATTCATTGTGCTCCACTGAGGAACATCTTTAGGGAGATCGGTTGTGATTTTATTTTCCCTCCACTGACAACTAATAGTGCCACATAGCATGTCTACAGAAAGTTAATCCATTTTATTTAACATACATGGAGGTATACTCTGTGCAGATTCCTTCAATAATTACCTTATTTTGTAGGTTTGGGGTTATCCATTCTGTGTTCACAAATTTACTCCTGTGGACAAATGGAGTGTTAACAGAGTCAAAACATCAACTGAATGAGCATAAGGAAAGACTAATCACGCTTGGTTTTGGGAACATAACAATAGGTAAGTGAAAGGGTTGGTACATTTTGGAATTCCTGCTCTAACATGCTCTCCTACAAAATACTGCATCACTGTAGGAGGGAGCTGAGTCATTCACAACTATGTCAGCATAGTCATTCCCGGGCAAATGGCAGTGAGCTGATACGTAGTCAGTTCAGATCATAACTAAAATGTTATATGATCATGATCATTATCATATACGTGATCCAGGTTGTCATTTTCTTTGAAGTTCCAAACAAACAGATTTTTAAAAACATTTCTTTTGAGGAATAACATCACTGAGGAACCCCTTTATTAGTAAATCAGAAGTAAATTGAACATAGCAGTTTTAAAACCAGAGTTTACTATTTACTAAGTTATTTGTAGAAAAACAAGCGTGGATAATCCAATCCTGCAAATCCTTCCCAGGAGAGTGGTTACATGTGGTCCTATGGAATTCAGTGGGATGGCTCAGAGGGATAGGGGTTATCCATTAGTGCTGCTTTACAAGACAAGGGTTTTGGTCTGGGTGGTTCTTTTTTCATAACAGACCATTTTCTCCATTAGTAAGATGATGCAAATTGTAGCCAACAAACATTGAGTATAACTGTTGGGGATGCCTTCCACTTTCAAACGCCACTGAAGAGATGGAGATGGAGATTAGGAGTGCTTAACTTTAGAGAGGAAATAAAAGTTCTCAGCAGCTATAATTTTCTTCCCATGGAAAATTATCAGTGCAGCTGATAAATTTTGATTGTGTTCACAAAGGAAAAGACAGCTTTTGAAGAGGAAAATGTATGTTTTCCCACCCCGTGAATTCAATAGTGCTTGTATCCTAAAAACTCCTGATGTTGCCTCTACAAAGCCAAATCCTGAATTAATTTCTTTCTTGCCTATTTATAGTCTGTATAAATTGAAAAATTTTAGGCATTTTTAATAATTCCTGCCAAAGTTCACATGTAAGTGAAAACTCAATTTTAAAACCTGTAAAATAGTATTTTCAGTATGACTGTGTCTAAAATTATGCCCACAATTTTACATCTATTTGCAATTGTTACTCTTTATATGTATCTATGGAAACTATCTAGTTTCCATTAATAATCGGGTAGCTGAATTGATAGTTCAGAGATTTTGTAATCATGGAGCATTAGAGAGCAGACAAATCACAAGTTAGTGGCTCTTCTTGATATTTCTACTTGTTAAATAGAAGCAGTTTACTTATATTATTTCCTCTTATTCTGCTGCCAGAATTGTTACGCAATTACGAACAGTCAGAAATAGCACCTGAAACAAGGGGGAGTGAAGTAGTGATCCGCAAGACAAGTTTGGCAGTAACATACAATCTACTGCAAAGGCGATTTTTTTCATCTCTTAACATTATGTGCTTGAGAGAAAACAATACCAACTTTCTCCTCTCCTCTCCTCTTCTAAAATTATAGAAAACAAAAGAAAAACGTTCAGGCACAAATCTTAAGATCAGTGCCTAAAAATGTGCTCTTCAGCATGTATGTTTATATATTTATAAATAAATACATTGTGAAAATAAGTATCTTTTTTTTTCCACCACTATGGACATTTCTGATTTCTGATATTATTTGCTTACTTAATAAATGCACATTAAATATATTTATTTTACAAAGACGAGCAATTTTTCATTGAGATGCCTTAGGGGTTTACAATGCAGATAACCTTACAGCAGAGAGATAATGATTTCATAGGTTCCTCTCACAAGGAGAAGACTGATTTTTAATTTTTTTTTTAACCTTAAAATTATACTGGGACATTGAGTGAAAGCATCTGTATTTACTTCACCTCTTTCCTAGCCATAAACAACTTTTTAATAAAGTGGTTATGGTATTAGAAACCACACTAGTGTAAATAACTGATAAAAATGAGAGTGGAACTTTCCTTGTTAAGCTTGTTCTTGATCTGATCCACCAATCCCCGCCCCGGGCTTCTATAAAAGCCTTCTAGCTGAAGGGCTGAGGACTCAAAGGCCTTGGGATCTGGATTTTTGTGTTATAATAAAGTATTTGTATCAAGGCCCTGCTGAAGTTTGGTGCACTTTGGTGCAGCATTCATCCATGATGTGTTTATTGCTCAGCAGCTGAGCAGTGAAGTCAGAGATCATACTTCAGCGGACATGCAAAAGCTTTGTTAGGTTAATGACTTTGACGGCGAGACCTTTTCTTAGGTGGCTAACTGGGTGGCATGATGTGTTGTTCAACTGAATTCTTACCTTTTATGTTTTGTTATTTTATTTATGTTTTATTTATTCACTTTAAACAAGAAATCTTTATAATGCACATAACTAATCTCTCCCTCTCCTTTAGTTTTAGATGATCATGCACCTCAATGCAATTGCACAACAACAACTCTCTGCTCGGTATTTTCTCAGGGAATATATTACCTATATCCCTTTAATATAGAGTACCACATCCTAGCATCCACGATGTTGTATGTCCTGTGGAAGAACATTGGCCGCAAAGTCGAGCACCACCAGCAACACAAAACTCCATTCAAATTCCACGGCATCACTGTTGGAATGATTTTTGGACTAATCGTGTTAACTAGCACAATAGCCATAGTTGTTGTGTATTTAATTCAGATTGGACGTTCGAAAATCAAAAGCGAGTTAGCACTTACTATGTTTTACCTGCATGCTATCTTTGTGTTGGCTCTCATGTGTACAGCTGGAATTGTTGCCCTTCTCATCTACAGACTGGAAGATAGATCGTTGGATAATTCAAAAAATCCTGCTCGAAAACTTGATGCAGAACTGCTGGTGGGCACAGCCGCAGGGTCCTGGCTCCTCTCCTGGGGCTCGATCCTCGCCATTATCTGTGCCCAAGCTCATCCAAAATACACATGGTATAACCTGCCCTACTCCATCCTGGTTATTATTGAGAAATATATTCAGAACCTCTTTATCATTGAATCCATACATCGTGAGCAAGAAAAGGTGAATGACGATATTAAAACTCTTCGAATAGTGACTATATCTCGGGGGAGCACTTTATCACTTACCCCCTCTTACAAAGAGATTTACAACGGCAGAGCCGCTCGTGACAACGGGGAGGTACCCTGCCTGTTTAAGGGCAGTATCTGTAGGAGAGAAAATGATGGTGGTGGTGGTGCCAAAGAAGAAACGAGTCAGGAAAATAGTTTGGTCATGCACTCAGCCTCAGATTTTTCATTTTACAGTAGCAGCTCAGTCACTAACAGCAAGAGGAGAATTCTGAAGAACATTGCTGCATTTTTATTCCTCTGCAACCTTTCGGTAAGACATTTTGAACATAATTCACAAATTAATACCCCAAAGCTTCCCAACCTTTCAAGCCTGAGAAGTAAATGAAAATTGCATGGTTCTATAGTTTGTAGCATAAGTTTTACTTCTTTTGGAAGAGTAAGTGAATATGCTGTTGGGGAACAAAGTTTATTTAAACGTGGAATCTGGGAGCCTAGGCTCGTTTTAGTCATGGTACAAAAACCCTAGCAGCAGCGGAAGCTGAAAGCCTCTTCCACTAGCGTGCCCCAGTAGCAACAGGGAGGGTTTTCTTAGGGATTTCTGAAACCAATTTGCAGTTCGGTGGGGTCACAGTCATTAAGGGCTAGTGACTCGTATCGCTGGTGATTAATATTGGCCTTGCGTTCTTTCCTTGCAGCTGTGGATACCGCCGGCATTCGGGTGCCGCCCGGAATATGACAATGGACTAGAAGAAATAGTTTTTGGCTTTGAACCCTGGATAATTGTTGTGAACCTTGCGATGCCTTTTTCTATTTTCTATCGGATGCATTCAGCTGCCTCACTCTTTGAGGTCAATTGTAAAACATAGATCATATACGGTCCCTCAGTGAACAATTGATTGAATAATTAATTAAATAAATAACAGTTGAATGAGTGGATGAATGAATGAGCGAACATAACAACAGCTGCTCAATAAATAGAAGATTCTATAATTTTTTTAAAAAGAAGGGACCATAGCTAATAGCATGTAATTTTTAAAATTTTTTTCTTCCACATTTTTTGTTATATATATGGTGTTATGGTATAGGTACACTTTTCAGAATCATATTAGTGTTAATATGATTAACACTACATAGTAAAGTTAATTCAATCTCATTAAGCTTTGTTTTAGTCATCTGGGATTTGTACTCTATATAATTTGTATTTCTTTGTTTTCATTCATTGTGGCTTGTGAAAGGGGTTTAAAAAAAAATTCTGTATGACTTAAGAGGGGAAATCCCAGGAACAGCTGAACTGAGTGATGCTCCTGAATCACAGAGATACTATGAAAACCCCAACTCTTAATTCCTAGCTATGTTTTTATAGTAAAACCTGAAAACATTTGCTATTTAGTTGGGATGTGGGAATTATTTTAAACTTCCTGAATACTGATAAAAAATCGATATATAATTATTATTTTCTTAACTATATAGCAAGAATCCAGGTAAATAACATGTATGGTTAGGTATCATGTTGTATATAATATCTTCTGATAAAATATATTTCTATTAATGCACCCCCCTTGTCTTTTATTTACTATATGACATAACTGAGAAATAAAGTTAATCCTTTTACTTAATTCTTTATTCACGCATCCTTGAAATGTTTTAGGAGAGAAAACTAGTCTTATAGCTTATGTTTAGGTATATATGTTCTGCTGCCAGAATGGTATATATTCCTTGTACATTTTTTTTAATGAGCTGCTAATTTCTTTGTAGTTCAGTCTCCTGGCTGGAAAATAATCACGTCTTCATACAGGGATGCTGTAAAGCATAGCTAATACCTCTAGAAATCCGGAGGGCCCTTGGCTGAGGGTTTTACATGCGTGATTTACAAGCTGTTAGAACATAATCTCAAATCCCTAGGATATTTAGTTGCCTGAATTCTCACAGAAAGCAGTGAAAAGTTGGGTGCCTGAATATTCATAGAGTCTGCACCTGTAAGGTTGAAAGACTGGAGCAATGACCAGAACACTAAAAGGGAGCAACAGAGCAGTTATTGGATAACCCTTGATAACTCATTAATGATCGAGTCCTAAGTCTGGTGGGTCAAGGGCTGCAAAATTTCTGCTGCTAGTTCCTAAGAGGGCAGTTATACAGCTGTCACCACCATCTGCCTGAAAGCAGTCATATTTCTGAGTGGGAGAGGTCTGCTTCTGAGACAAGATTTCAGCAGTCTTGTCTGCTCTCACGCATCAGAACAAAAATTTTGGCTTTACACCACTAGATGGCACACACAGACCATTCCATAAATTGCGCGATTACTTCTAGGAGTTGCTTCACATCATAAGTAACCTTCAGTTCTATTTTGTGGTACACACAGCCATAACCTGCCTAGGAATTTTTGCTACCTTCTTCACCTGTTGCAAAACCCAGATCAAGTAAAGCAACTTTCATCTGAAGTCTGAATTAGGGTGAACCATCAGCGAGGCTGAGCATGCGAACTCCTGTTCCTGCAAAGCATTTTCAGTTGTTCAGTTGTTCGCGTTTTTTAAGAGTCACCATCTGATCACATTGCTGTAATCTCTGCCTTTCTGTAGGGCTGCTTGTCATGCTCTTCTGTCACATCTCTATTAGTTCTTACATTCATTCTAGACAGTAACAGTTTCTAGCTTTCCCCTTGAACACAGTAGCTTGATCTCACCTACTTCCATGCAAATACCAGCTCTAACCACTTCACTGGGCTGTCTCTCAGACTGGTTCCATTTTAAGTAGAGCGAATAGGTCCATCCAGATAAGCAAGTAAAGCTTTAATCTTCCTTCCAAATCGGCTCTTGGACCAACTCTCCAGCTAATTCTGGTATCAAAAGAAATTAATTTCATTAGGTAAGCCCACAAATTCCACTTCATCTTTTAAGTGCTCATAAAGATGGCTAGAGGAAGCCTGTTTCTTCTTCCTCTGCTTCTGTGGAATGGGTCCCATGTCATTCTTCAGCTAGAACTTGTGCTCTTTAGCTAATTTCCAGCATTTGTGTTCAACCAAAGCAGAGCTAGCTAATCTCTAGTGCCAAGAAGGGGCCATATGCTCTATTACAAACACACAGCACACATTTGGAAGTTTCAGAAATAAATAACATCCTTATTTAGTTATATTTCATCTGCAATTACTTACCCCTTTCTGTTTCTTAACATTACTATTGAAGTAATTTCATTTGTCCACAATATTAAATTGATTTTGAGTGCTGAAATTGAAGTTTATTCAGAAAAGTGAATTAAGGCAGCACTCTGGCAGTGAGCAAATGCTTTAAACGTGCTAATGGGCAGAGAGGTTCTATTCCGAGCTGCACTGATGAAACCCCGCTGACTTAAATGGTTCTGTTTCAGGACCAGAGACTTGATTTTGTCCTGAGAATCTTAAGAGGCTTTCACGATAGCACGTCTCTCAAAAAATACTGTTTGACCCAAATGCGGACTATTTTATGGAAGCGGGTCTTAGTTTAACTACTCTTGAAGCAATGGTGAGTCGTGATTCATGAAGTTCTGAACATTTTAGAAACATAGATTTTTAAGAAACATAGATTTTTGGACCAGGAAAAATAATAAGATTGTGTAACATAGTGTGACCTCTAGCTGTCTGATCCATGCTAAACCTGGGCTTTCTCAAACAACTGCTTTCAAACTTCTCTTTTTTGTTTTTGTCTAGCATATATTGACAATACTAATTTATCACAGGTTTTAAAATATAAGAAATAGCATGAAGTTACCCCATTTCTGCCTACCTATCTGCTCAAGCATGTGAGAGGAGGCAGGAGAGCTGGCTTGCCCAGGGGAGAGGGCTAACAGTTGTTCATTGTTATGTTCCTGAGGTGCCTCTAGGGAGGAGTTTGTCTACTTTGAGATCTCTAGGGAATGTTGTTGAGACCAATTTAATATTACTTAAAAAGATTATTTTTTTAAGAGAATTTCTTCAGTCAACTCCAAAATGCACTTGATGTGTAAAGGATTCTGAAATTTTGCTGCATAATCTTAATCAGAAAGCTATTCTCTGATGTTCATCATATCCTTCTGTTAGACTATTCCACTCCCTCCCTTCCTCCCTAGATAATTTTATTTATTCAATAATATATGCTTGGGTAGCATTTAAATTCATATATGTACAGGAATAAAGGCTGCTAAGGTGCAGGAAGATTCCTACGATCCTCAAGCATTTGCCCGAAGAGTCAAACTTGCATGACCATAGATTTTTCCAAGTTTTTTTTTACTATCAGTGACACTAACTCTGAGATGGAAGAAGGTGGAGGAGTCATGGTCAAGTCTTTCTAAAAGAAGTGAATTCCTTTTACTAGTATTTCTCAATACTTTGAATTTCCTCTTTTAATCACTTAAAATTTTTTTTCCAATGACCATTTTGATAATTTTGGAAATATTCCTGTGTTGTGTGGCCCGCTTGTGGTCCATAGACTTTGAGTGGACTATAGCAGTGCAGAGAAGTAGATGGCTCCAGAGAACAGCAGAGGGAAATTATCCAAGTAATTTAAGCATATGCTTCTTTCCACTGACTAGGGAATTAGAGGTCCTTATGAGGATAATTAGTTAATTTTTTTTAAAAAAAGCTGACTGTCTTTTCCATTGAGCAGCATGTAATAAATCCTTCAAGATCTAATCAGCTGTTTCCTAAGTAGGGGCACATAGCATATCCTGCTTGTGTTATTCTGCCTTTTCCTGCAAAAGCTCTAAACAAAGCAGGATTTGGTTAAAAAACAAATTAAAGATATTGTAGTTTTGTTATGTTGTAGGCTTTGTTGTTTGCGGAGTTGTTTCTAGCTGAAAATGAAGTGCAAATTTCAGTCATCATCATAATGTGACCAGGGTAATACTCGTAAACTTGATGACAATGTTTTGTGTAGCCAATATGAGTTTTAATTTAATTTATTACTTAATAAGATTAAGAAATGTTTAGAAATCACATTTGCAAGAATAAGGAGAAAAAGGCTTTTTAAAAGGTTAGTTTTTCAGAGCTTTCTCTAAGTTGAATTTTCTGGACAGTACTAGACTGTGGTTTTACAAATGATGCTCTCATTTTAACAGTTAACACCACTTCTTTACTTGTATCTGCATAGGCCTGCGATGGCCCTGTTGAAGTTTTAGCAAGGCAGGTTGGAAAGCAGCCTGGCAAAACCAATGAATGCTACTTGAATGTTATATATTCTCTATGTGACCCGACAGTATGCAAAACACAGGTTGAATGGAGATAAGAGTATCTGCGCGTAGTGATGTACAAATATCCTTAAATGATTCATTTCTGGATCCTGAAAAATGAGTCTGTGGACACCATTGACCAAATCTTGTATGATGTATTATGAAAACCAAACATGCACTCATTAAATTTCACCTAAAATCCATGAAATGGAAAAGATCCCCAAACTTCAAGATTTTAATACAAACACTCATTTTTTAATTTTCCTACCTCTCTGTCTGATTAGACATGATGCATGTACAGCTGGCTCATTGGATCACTCATTCCCTGGGAACTCTTGTCCCCAAGGATTTGGCCTCATTCTGTGCATGCATGAATAAAATAAGATCTGAATTTAAACAGAATTGAAGCAGCTGCAATTGTTAATGGGAACCTTAAAAAACAGGGTTGGCTCTTTTAGCTTTAAAGGATGAATTTGATCTTGAAGTTGATGATAGTGGGAAATCTCACTTTAATGTCAATAGTCAATGGTTAGAGACCTTTTTTTTTTTTTTTTTAGGAGGTGTGTTATGTCCCATAGTATTAATTTGGCTGAGATTTAAAGCAAAACTTGCAGTTCTCAATGGCATGTGTCCTGCCTTCCTCTACTACTATTCTTTACCTAAAAGAGAACTGAGTTTCATCCTTATAAAT